AAAAAAAGTAATAAACAAAAAAAAAAAGTAATCTGAAAAGAATGGAAAAAAAATTTCTATTTGACAATGCTTTTTTTACTTCAAATCTCCTCAGTTTCTGTTCATATAGTAAAAAGCTAACTCGGTTCACTGGATTAGTAGATAGAGGAAAAAAAGACAAAGAAATTTCACTTTTTTTTTTTGAACTTTTCCTTTTCTTTTCCAGTACATTTATTTGACCCAAAACAAGTTGTCAACAATCGTCAAAATGGGGAGACAAATGTCCCCAATGTATTACACCAATAATACTAAAACGCCACTATGTTCAGTGTCATATCAATTTATGCTAATGATAATAAAATCAACAAATTGAAAAGTTTCAAATGTTTTTCTTTCACTTTTCTTTTTTGCCCCTTATACTTTTATACTTCGAATATTTCAGTTTGCCGTTCCACTTCTGTTCCTGCACTACGTTTTAGCGCCACTTAATGTTTGTATCAAAATTTCTGAAATTCCCAAGGAAAGGAAAAGTAGCCAGGATGAAGAACGGTTAATTTGATGCCACAGAAATGGTGGTGACAAGCTGTTGACAAAAAAAAAGAAATAAAAAGAAATAAAGTTGCTGCTCAACAATAAACCAGAATTTGAAGCATTTATGTTCCGAATGTTATGACAACAAATTATAGCTAATAATTCTGACTTCACCAAGGAAAGAACATGCGAAGCAAGTTATTCAGTTTAGCACCGACTAGGTTACATTTAGTCAAACGATACTGCACCGGCACCTGCCAAAGGAAACGAGGAAAACTATTAAAGTTTTTCCTTTGAAAGGTTATTAAATTCGACAAAGCAAAACCAGAATGAACTGTCATTTCTTGATCATATCCGGTTGTCATACGAACAAATCAGCAAATATGCTTTTTTGCACACATCTTTCATCAGCAACGCCATCATTACTGATATTAAAATTATCATCAACACCATCAAGATAGCAGCAACAGTAATCAAGTAACCGATCAACAGTTTCAAACAATTTAAGAAACTGAAATTCTAAATCAATAAGACTGAAAAAAAAAATTGGATTTCTATTTGCTTAAATGCCAACAATAAAAGTTACTGGTAGAAAAGAGTGGAAAAATGAAGAAGAAAGATCTAATTTAAAAAATTTTTGTGTCTACAATAAAGCAGTTCAAATTGTCTATGTCATTTTACTGTAAAATTCCCGTATATCGTTGCAATATTTAAAAGTTGTTTCCCGTTTCTTCCTCCATTTTTTTTTTCATCACTGCTGTCGATAACCGTTAGCTGCTTCGTTCATTGCTTTGGTATTACGGTGCAGTTATCATTGACATCAAACGATTCACCATCAATAATAAATAATTTGTTCAGCGAAACAAAAAAAAAAAAAAAAA